CCGACGAAGAGCTGCTAACCCCGCAGTCTTCGTCCAGTGGATAATGTGCCACTCCACGCGCATCTGAAGGGCCGTGCCCTCAATGCCTCGGCCCTTGGCCGATCATGTCACGCATGACATGCAGCGACTTCTTCAATAATTGAGCAGCGCTCAGTGGATTACGTGCCACTCCACGATCAGCCCACAAGCCTCGTTCGTGACTCCTATCAGATACACCGTTGGTGTCTGCCAACTTGGACATTCCAATGTCCAGCACGTTTACCGTCTCTAGTTTTATTTGATATCCATTCTTTGTGGATACCAAAATTAGTTTTTGGTTTTTCATTGTTAAATAATCATCATGACTTTCTTTTTTCTTTCTTAAATCAACTCTTGATTTTGAACTTCCAAAGTTCAGTGCTCTCGCCAATAGCGCTTTTTCTTAGCAGATGTGTGTTCATGACTCGCCAAAGCTCCACCAGGAGACATGCGAGTAGCGCCCAAGGTCTTTGACCTCCATGCCATCCCTAGGATGAGGCCATACCTTGCATCCAAGTCTAAGACTAGACAGGTTTTCACGCTATCAAAGTCAAGGAACTTACCTTCAGGACCGTGACACGCGTCCCCGTCGCTAGACGAACAGTGTCGATGTCATCCAACTGTGCTATCAGCGCCTCAACATACAGCTGACTTCCTCCCATCGTGGAGCGTCGAGCATAATTGCCCGACGCCCTGAAATCGATAGGATCTTCCATGGCTTTTTTTTCAAAGCCCTTTACGGTCGCATCCACGACCAGCAAGCCCAGCTTGCATACACGTTCCGTGTTCGAGAGCATGGAGCCCTTCGGGGCTGGGTCTTGTTGACCTCTACCCTTCTGAGGCTCAACAGAACTCAGTTCTTCCCCAGTAGGTCGCCCTGCGCCTAATGAGTGGTGTCGTTTCCCCGCGACGAACCAGACTGGTAGGCGTTGGGGCGATGGTTCGAAGCACCTTGACGCGACTTGCGCAGGGGGCAACCGTTTCGCAGGTGACGGGTGTTTCCACAGACAAAACACCGTCGTGTGTTTGCGTGCTGTCCGGCAGGTCGGAGCTCTGCTCCCTCGTCTTCAGCATAGCCGAGATCCATGAGCACAGGCCCGCTCGACGAGCTGTTGGAGTGTGCATTCCAACCAAGTCGTGCCGACTTGAAATTGAATTCGTCATTTAATTACCGCTTCTTCAAACGAAGACGAATTCACACGGAAGACGTTCATTCTGGCCACGCCAGCGCGGAGGCCTTTCATATAAACTGTCACTGTGACCGCCTCAGGAAGGGGATCTGCTGTCATCCCGGTAATGAGTATGCACATCCCTCGGATAAAGTCCACCAATTCCTTGTTGCCCTGTCGGGCGGTAAGGAGACGCGATCCCACGCGATATGCCTGATTAGGCGGCGAGAACACTCGTGAAAGCTGCAATTTCGGCTCCAGCCAGGAGGGAAACAAGGCTTTGTCCGAAGTGCCACATATCAGTGCCCATTATCGCGCATGACCTCCGAGC